CCCCCCCCCCCCGCGCGCGCTTCGAAACCACCGAAGCCGGCCTGCCCCCACAGCAGTATACGGCATGTGTTCAGCAAGGAATTACAGCGGCATGTGTGTGTTGTGCAACGGCACCTGCCTTGATATGTTTCAACGTACGCCCCCCTCCCCTACGCCGTGAGCTTGTATGTATCTACCCATCTGCCCTCGGAGAGAGCTTCAAGCCAAACTACCGCCTCCTCCCCCGTTACCCAACCGCATGCGCCCCCCCCCCCAGCGTTTACGTTCGGTGTCCTCCTCGTGCAGCAGCTGTCACCCCCTGCCACACCTCTCACCGCCCCCCGCTGCCCCTCTCTCATACACCCGCGTCGCGTCACAGGTGAAAAACGGACTCGTCAACAGCTTGAGTACGGTGTGGTGCATGATTCCCGCGGTGCTGGCGTGCGTGTGGTTCGTGTTCGAGCTGACCCGGTCCCTGCTGCGGGTGCGGCGGGTCATGCTCCGCGAGGAGGCGCAGCGGAAACTCTCGGTCAGGAGGATGCGCCTGCAGCTGCGCCGGAGGAGCGCCCGGGCGAGCCTGCAGCGGCAGAGAGAGGAGGAGGCCGCGGAGCGGGACATGGATGTTTCCGCCGCCGCTGCTGTCGCCGCCACTGCCGCCGGAAAAGCCGCGGCGGGGAGACTGGACGCCGCCGGCGGCGGTAGCAAGACGGGCAGCTCCGCTCGTGTCCGGCGGGGGCCGGCGTTGGTCGGGGCGCCGTCGTCGCGGACCCGACGCCACTCCTCGCGCGGTGAGACTCCACCCGACGGCACCGCCCCCGCCGCGGATGTCCGCCTGGGCGCCGGCAGGAACGAAGTCGAGGAGGTGAACGAGGCCGAAGGCTGGCGGAGTAGCAGCGGCAGCGGTATCGTTAGGCGGGGAGGTGTCGGCAATGGCGGCGACGGGGGCGACGGCGACGGCGGCGGCGGACTCGACGAAGAAGACCGTTTGCGGCTTTCCCCCACGCAACGGACCCTGGCCCTCGGGCTACCACCGGTCGGGACCGCTTCTCCCGATGCTTATACGAGCGAAGAACGAAAAAGATATCATGAGCCGAGGGCGGCGGCGGGGGCGACGCCCTGCAAAACCTCGTCTTACGATGACGGCGACAATGAAGACGACATTGAAGCAGCCTCCACCGCCGCACGTCCTTCTCCTCCCACCGCGGGACTCAAGTGGCCGCAGGCGCCGCCGGCAACAACGTCGGGCGGCGGCGAGGGCAAAGGCGACGGTCACCGCTCCGCACAAAGGGCGGTGCGGGTAAGCGTCCTGCTGCAGGCGTGGCTGCGGCTCTGGCTCACCATGGCGGCGTTCGGGGTGACCCTGTCCGTTTTCATGATCCTCCTCTCGCTGCGTCTGTTGGGGGTCTCGGCGCACTACCTCCCGGCCTTCTGGATCGCGAGCCCGGGCCTGCTGGCCCTGACGCTCCTCGCCCTCCACTCGCTGGTGATCCTAGACGGAAGCGGCGGGTACGGCGGGGCACCCGTGCTGCAGGTCGGCGGTAACAGGCTGGTGGTGGTGCTCGGGCGCAGGCCGATCATCCTCCTGACACTGCTAGCCGCAGTGCTCGTGGTTCTGAAGATCGACAGCTTCGCCGGGGGCTCCGGAGTGGTGATGGAGGCCATGGAGATGGTGCACTGGGGCTACGCCCTCCTGCCGCTGTGGGTGATCGTCTGCATGCTCGAGGCCGTCTACGTGGGGGCCCTGTGGGAGAACTACACGCGCAGGAGCCTGACCTTCCCGGGTCTCTTCGGGGGCGTGCGCGACCTCCGCGGGCTCGGCGGCCTCGGGTACTGGTTCTGCTGCTGCTTGGGGGGAAGGGGGGGTTACGCGGGCGACGGAGGAAAGGGCGGAGGATGCCACTGGCAGTGGCGTCGGACATGGTGGAGCGGCGAGAAAAACGGTGATGACGACTTTGAGGATCCACTTGTCAAGGATTACGATGAGTATGAAGGAAAGCAGCAGCAGCAGCAGGTTGCCGGGGGGGGGACGAGCGGAAAGTTCGGCGGGGCTGGGCGGGAGTCGCCGCCCACCGACGCCCAGGCGTACGCGTCGTACTCGAGCCCCGTCCGGCAGAGGGTGGAACTGACCCCTAGCCAGCGAGCGGCCGCGATAACGATCTCCGTAGGGACCATCCTGCTCACCGCCTGCCTCGTGTCCCTCATCTCGGGGTCCACCGACGAGAAAGCCAACTGGGGGGTGCCCCTGACCATGATCGCGGCGACGACCGGGTTCGGCATGGTGAGGTGGTGGTAACTCGTCGAGTCGCTCGATTCGCGGCACTTCGCGGCTGTCCTTGGTACTTACCCCCGCGCGTAGCAGGAGCCTTGCTTTTTGGGAAAGAGAGACAGAGCTCTGAGGGTACTTGTGTTGTATTTGGGTATGCATATGTACAACCAACCGTCAAAGGCCTCCCTCTTGGTCTAGCGTCTCGCAATTCCCGCCGCTCAGCTGGGTGTCACAAGGGCGCGCGCGCCTACCTTACCCCCTAGATATTTTTTGTCTTCGCCGCCGTTGTCGTTGCCACCGGACATGTCGTGCACCCGGCCGGGTATCCGGCCGCATCCGCGTAGTGAATGTTGTCGGGCCAGACGCAACCAAGACCATCGAGGGCAAGACACCGTCCGTGTGTATGGAAAATTCTAGCTGGTTATGAAAAATCAGCAGCCAGTGCACCGTAAAACGTTGAAAGCGAGCGAGGCTTTTCGTCTGTTGCTCTAGGAAAAAGTGAAGGCAAACGCGGTTAAAGGGGCTTTGGCGGTGGTGCTTCTGCTTAAGGGCGGGCACGAAAGACGTCCACCTCGCTTCCAACGATACCAGTCGTCCCTCGGTTATGGACACCATTTTTAAGGACACTCCCCCGGTTATTGACAACGAAAAATTCACGGGCATGGTGACTCGCAGGATGTTATACAACATAACGAGGGGTATCAGCCTTAAGGACACCTGTTTGAACGAAGAACCATGTGTGTACTTTCCCGAGGAACGACTACACAGGTGTTGCTCGAGCTGCAGGTGCGGCCCTGCCCTCGCCCAAGCTCGAGAAACTTGACGTTTCAGAGCTTGAGGGTCCGACTTTCACGAAACAAGAGGACACAAGTTGGAACTCCATTCACCATGCTGAACAATTTCCCTGTTGGTTACCCTACAGGTTTGAGTGGGGATAGCGGGTTGCGAAAAAATCGAGCACCTGCGAAGAGGTGGTTACTGTTCAAGTCGGGACCGCTCGGACGGTCGATAGAAGTATACTCAAATGACTATTCAAGTATATTGTAATCATAGGCTGGCATCAATATGACCCCCCCCCCCCCCCCCCCCCCCCCCCCC